ATTGTTGAAAGACCTTTTGCAGCATTCTTAGTTCATGACAGTGTTTTGGGGCAGAATTGTGACTGTGCAGAATCCCATGGATGAGAAGAAACCACATACCTAGATAACCTCAGGATGCCTCACCATTGGCACAAATCATGGTAGCATTTACCTTTCCTCTTTTGGACTATCAATTTTTTAGAATTCCTTAACAGTCAGAAACGGGCATCCTCAGCGAAAACAACCTCCCACTTCTTCTACTGTCCAGTCCTTGTAGTCTGTGCAGCATTTCAGTCTTTCCTTGATGTTTTTCTTGGAGAGAAGTGGCTTCAAGCATCTCCTATTTTATATCTGTGCTTTCAACTGATTGATGCATGACATCAGTGGACTCACACTTTCTCTTGTGCTATAAGATGATACAGAACTGCTGATAGCTCATCGTTTAATGCTAGGGCCAAATTGTCATTGGATTTTTCAGATGAAGTTTACTTTCACACAATGGAGCTGTTTACAGTTCATGAATATACTTTTGATCACCCAGCATTAACCTTTTGCAACAACTACAAGACATAATTGTTATGAGATGTGCCACACATACTATATGCAATATTACTATAAAACACACAAAAAACTTTTCTTTTCCATGTGACATTACAAATATGTAAAATAAACATCAATACAAATGTCTTTATACACAATGAAATTACACAAATTTTTCCATAAATGTGCAGAAATTGCTACTTTGTCCTGTATGAAAATCTTGCGGCACACATGGTTACATTGTATATTGCTAGGAAAATGGGAAATTGGTTGAAATATGGACTCCATAGCATATAAGATGTTTGTGCAGTTCTAACAATATTTACTTTTATTCTTCAGTCCTTGAACTTAGGCAAGCTTTCTTGCCATTTCTTTAAGCAGTGTTCAGCAATAGTTCTCCAGGCTTCTCGAAGGACACTTAAATCTCTTCTTTGGATGCTGGTTGTCTTATTCTGTCAGTCCTGTCAATACGATCCCACACTGCTTTATTAATGTGGAGGCTAGGCATTACATTGTGTGTTTTTCTAACTATAGCAATGGAAGAGTTTAAGAATCTGCAACTTTTCTGTGTGAAATTGACCTTGTTGGATTAAACGCACTAAGTTGTCTCTATTCTTGAAGACTACTACTTACAAGAAGGCTTGCCCAGTCTTTCCAATATGCTGCATGTAGATTTTCGAGTTATCTTTTGCGCACTGTGTTCTAAGACAGTCTTTGGGCTTGCAGTCTATGTAGTTAAAAAATAATTCCATGTCTGTACTAGTGTTTGACCCCTTAGCAAAGGTAAATAAAATTCACTTTAACTCAATTTATCCTAGATTTCTACAACACCAGGTATGTTTTTATACCATATTTAAAAAGGTTTAAAACACTGAGGTTTAGTGTCTCTAAACACAATCCCTACAAACTTAAAGCTCAGGCGTCAAAGTGGAAAATGAGGATCCGCACTGAGAGACAAATACAAAAACAAATAAGGAACTGTGCACTGTGACTCATATAAAGCTACTCTAGAAAGGTCCAAGAATAAAAATAAGGATATAAGCATAAAAAAAATCCTCTTTGAGTTTGTTAGGTGGAGACAAACACCAAAAGTCGTCATTTTCCTCTGTAAGCGCTAGATGTTTTAACTGTATGCTAAGAAGTATCACTGACTTAAAATGGGGTGTTATACTAGTGTGCTAATTTTCATCTGTCAACTCGCCACCAACTCTTTTAGGCCTTATTTTAATATCAACAAGTTTAACCTCAAACCATAAAAAAACAAGACCGAATCATCAGATAGCTTTTAAGGAGACAGACACAGTCCAAGCAGAGGGCCAGCCAAAATGTCCTCACTTTCCAAAAATTTCCTCACTCCTCCCTCTGCAACTTTAATTGGCCCTCATAAAGAGAGAGGTTCAAGAGGATACTTGGATTTAAACATTAAAACCAGGCTAATGTGCATCTGTGCTCTACATGGTACGTAATCTGCATAGTTATGCTTTACGCAATGTCCATTACAACATCTCTCTCTCTTTCACAAGTAGATTCTCTCTCTCTCTCTGCCTGTCTCTCTCTCCTGCTCACTCTGATTTCGCTCCTTTACATTCATACAAATGTAACCATGTCACCAAAACCAGGCTTAAGTGTTTATCTTGATGCCTTATGCCATCACCATATGAATCATGCTATGTATTACACCAATGCTGTTTCCCTTCCAAACACAAACATATAACCTCC